TGTGACAGTGATCTCTACCTCTTATAGCTTTTCACAATGTCTACACCTGTCCAGTCCGAAACGATTTCTAGAGAATTCCAGAATTTTATATTGATGTGTATGGATATTCATTCTACAACGCCTAGATTTATTTAATCATCTTCTGATAATCGACTTGAGACCTTACAATTAATCTCGTCAAATAATTTATTGTGTAGACGACTTTTTGACTTGGTGTCAAAGTAGCATGATCTTTTGTTATCATACAACAAATGAATTCGGTATAAGGTGAGCGGTTAATCAGTTTTTCCTATGAGTTCGAATCTGGCAACCCGACTAGCATGATTTATCACTCACAGATATAGGGTTTGAACACTATAACAGAGTGATTTCCCCATTTCGCTTTGCAAACTAAATTAAAGGATAGAGGGAATTCCAGTGTCATTACAGAGTGACATGCATGCCCTCCACATTATTACATATATCCATACGTGGCTAGTCAAATTGCTCGATCACTCAATATCAAAAAGTGGATTTGTGAATTTTGGGCTCTCTACCATATTTGTGACATAACAGTAGATTGACTGACATAAGATAGATACCATGTTCAGCACAAAAGAAATTTGGCTAGTCTAACTTGATAGCCCAAAAGCATGAATTCACTTGAAATCCAGTGCCAGTATTCTGCTATTGCCAGTGAAATCCCTACCATCAAATTTTTAACTTAAAAAGGATGCTAGAAAGGTATGAAATTCTGGGAAAGCAACCGAGATAATTTCCAATTGACTGGCACTGTCGTAATTAAACTTTTTGCAATATGGTATTGTTGATTTTGCCGTAGTAATGCCCAACGCATCTTCCCCAATCCCGACGAATTCGGGCAGAGTTTTTGTTTAAAGCAGTGGTCTTGATTGCAAGTAACTCTTGATAAAAGGTGTAATTCAAGGTGTAATGCCTTCATAATTTGAAACATGTATACATGTAATTTGCTTCATAAATTCTATCCTCTTCTTGAATTTATTTCTGAATGCAGGTGGTCTGGCATGAAGCCGTCTACCCTCCTTAACATACAACGTGAGGCTGCTAGCCTTCTTACCAATCTGACTTCCACGTCAGTCACATCTCGGCCGACCACCATCAGACGCGATCAGCTCACCAAACCAAAATTAACTACTTATATGCCTCGCAATCGAATCGTCCCGGAGGCGCAAAGCAATATGCCTCTCGCTAGGCAGAATTTGTCCCAATACTCTGCAGGAAGACTATTATCAGGGGGGACGGCAAAAGCTCCTGTTTTACACATGCCACATCTACCCAGACTTCATGCCGACCAGGAGGCAAGAAATGAGGTCGTAGCTCCAGTGACAATGATGGAGACGACCAGAAAATCCGGCTCGATTATGCGGATAAATGATTTACTTGTTGAGCCTGAGGTAAATATTAAACTTTGCTCGTATCGATGTCTGCATGCATGTCTCGATGAGTGACAAATGACTTCAGACGTTCGATGGCCCCAATAATTAAGGAGGCGTTTACTATTTGCACCGGTCTACCAGCATATCACACTAAACTCAATTATTTTTTGAAGCTATCAAATAGCTCTTTAAAACATTCCCAGTGAGGGAAGGAATGCCATTAGTTAGAGTTATCTAAATAATTCCAAGAACATCTTGCGAATACTCATAGCTAGCGCCAATACTCTTAAAGATTTTTGTATTATAGCTACGGTGTGCATTCTGAATACTCCTAATACTTGGACTATAATCCTTTTTAGTGAAGTATCAGTCTTCTCATAGAGAGAATACGCCCTAGACTGTAAATTTTCTGTAGGCTCAATACATCCATTCAAAAATACTGGTACACTTCACATAACAATCATTCCAGATTGTATGTCTATGAGATTTATGCTGATTCCCGTTGTGCTGTTTCCATTTGGCTTTAATACTACGTTTATTCTGACGCAGTTCACAAGATATCCTCCCTTATTTCAGGTGAAAATAGGCTGAGATTTGTCCATCAAATGGCGGGCATCATCAGAGCTGGATGTCATTCTTCATAAGGTCTCATGTTAAGACTAAGTCAAGAAGACTATCCAGCTTTATCTTACCTCTTATATAAACTTATAACTAAAAAGCGAAAATGTATAGATAATTATCTTTCATATTGGTCATGCTACATTTGCTCGAGTGTGTGTGTGCTAACGCCCATACGCAATACTTCACCTAACTCAGAATGATCAAAAAAGCCAATTTCAGACTCTGGTCATCAAGGCTTTATAACCCAAGAAAAAGCCCTGACCGAGACTGCGTAAGTCTGCAAGCAAGTGTGGTTGAGATAATGAGATGTAAGCTTGTAAGTGTATAACTAAAGTTAAGAAACCATCTTCCATAACCTCTCGGTCTAGGGTTATTAGGATTTAACTACTCAAAGAAAGGCATAACTGGGGCTGCGCAATCCGGTACGTCTAGTTTACTATGTGAACTTAATCTTGCAAGTTGGACGAATGTGAATAAAGTTAGAACCATCACTGAGCAGAAAAGTTGAGTCGCCTTTTTTGAATGACGGCTCTCTCTCTCCTCCAATCTATCAATCAAGCACAAGTAGTTCCTGCTCAACTTTCTGTTACCATTCCTCAAATTCAATGTATTCCCGAATCTATTAATTTCAACAGCCTCTCTTATCTTCATGTTAACAGCAGACATACCATAATCAGCAAACCTATTCTTATGAGACCATTCTATCTCATGTCCAGTCTTTGGTCTTTGTTCCGCCACTTCTGACCGTTGGGCCCAGCTTACTCACAAGCATTTTTGTGTTCCTATAATCTTTTTAAAATAGTCCGGCATGCCTCATCAACATAAGGTCGACCACGGGTGCACACAATCTTGTAACATCCGGATTTGATAATGGATCATATTTTTCTCTAAAAGATGGTACAGCTGAAGGTTTCTTTGAACATTGTTTTTATGCCCCACTTTTTCGTTAGTTTGCCTATCTTTTTAGAAAGAAGTCAGGATGGCAAAATATAGTAGGACGATGCCATTGACTTTAAAGCTGCTATAAAAAGGTGAAGCTTTTACTCCGAACAATTAGTAAGAGTTAAAGTCACCTAGGGTCGCTTACTTGGTGCAAGTCCTGATGATTGGGGTTCCAATAGCTAAGAACTACTAAGCTCAGCGTCCTGTGACCCGGGCGAATCCGTGCCGGGTTTC